AGTAGAAAAAACTGCCTTGCTGAAGAGAGCTACATTGTTTGGTCCAAAGGCAAAGTTGTCCACAACATGGTCCTCAGACTGAGGAATGTGGAGTGCGGGGAAGTGGAACTGCAGTTGCAGTGGATTAATGTTCCTAGTTCTAGAGGTCTGTAGATTTGCATCCGCTAGCTCTTTCAATCGGTATAACGTTGCACCTAGATAACTTCGTTGTCGTGTGTTTTGTTCATAGATGTCACAGTAGAGTGATAATGTAGAGGGCTATATAACCACATATGTATTGCTATCAATCGTATGGGATGTGAGAAAACAATTTTGACAGCTTGATCATGATGTAGAACTGTTAGATTATGCAGAGCTTGACAAGAATAAGCCTGATAACTTTACATTTTATTCTTTAATCCATTAGTAGCGAATTTGAATTGGAAAGAGTCGAACTTGAATCACCGAGACTATCCGACGAGTCGAGGTGGAACTCGATGAATCCGAGGTTAATCTATCCTGATTCAATTCCAGGAAGTTTCTGGTAATGTTTTCTAGCTCTGTGCGTTGAAATTTGGGTGAATTAGTTGCGCTTTAACCTCTGTGCAATTTCCAGAAACCGGCGACTTTTCTCTCCTTGTGAGAGACTTTCTCTCAGTTTGAGAGTTCTTCTAACTCTGTGTGAGAGCTTCAAATTTGCACAGATATGGTGGCGCCGACCCTAACTTCGGCTGGGGTTGGTTACCCGTTCTCCCCTTCATCTCGTTGTCTCCTTTTCCATGCTTCGACTGCATTTTCCCCTTGCTCTCTATTTCAATTTGCCCTTTTCTTCTCATCCCACCTGCGTCCCTCTTCCTCATTCATCCTTACTCCTACATGCAGTCTTGCTTTGCTGAGATGGTGTGTAGAGCTTCGGTGCTTGCACAAGCTCGGGTGTCCTTAACACCACCACCTTCTCATCTCTGTCTGCCTTCACCAGCAGTGTTGTCTGTGGTTTCAGGCTTCTTTCTTCTGGCAGCTGGATTTCTTTATCTGGTTGTTGGATTTCTTCAATTGAGGTTGCATACTTGGTGGTGCTTGGAGTTGGATGTTACGATCGGCGAGTCGACGTGAGGTTGGAGGAGTGGAATTGGACGAATCGTACTGGAATGTTGCAACGGTGGCTGCAGTCGATTTCTCAGACTGTTTTTTTTTTTTTTTTTTTTTTTTGTTCTGGGCTCAAACTGTTGCTTGAGCTATGCTTTTGTTTGTTTTTCTTTGGCCCATTTTTTGCTTGTTCATATGCTAGCTTTGGGCCCTTGGTTTGTGTTTGTTTTTTTGGTTTGTAAAGTTTGTATTTTTGGTTTGTAATAAATGTTGCTCTTTGGAGCTTTGACAAAAAAAAAAAAAAAAAAGAAACCGGCGAAGGACTCCGGTTGAGTTTCGTCAAGTCCGAGGTAGATTTCAACTCAATTTGTTCGATTTTGGACTTAGTAAACTCCTAGACCCTTTTTGTGTGTTTTGGTTATGATTGGAGTTCAAAGCCGTGAAATTTAGGCTTGATTAAACGAAGCTCTGCAAATTCTTTTAGAAATCTGCAGAATTCGACAACGGCAAATGGCAATCGTTGTTTACATTAACGGCGACAGTAGTGGTTACCTTTAGAGATAACAGAATTTCTAACTGCCAAGGTAGATTTCGTTATCTTTTTAAAGTGAAACCCACGACCGGTGCATGGTACTAGCACTGACAGCTGTAGCCTATGCTAGCCATTTTGCAACAGTGAGTAAATTGCGATGCGTTTTCTAGCGATGGCGGCGACAATGGTTGTGCATCCATTGGCGAACAACCGGCGCGTGACGTCCTCGCAGAGGTGCGTGCGGTGATGTTTGGGAACCCGAGACCTAACCTTAGGTGAGTTGGTATCCCGAATCTCATGCTACACTCTGTTTCTTTGAAATATGAGTCATTTACGATGTTTTGGAATAAAATTAGTGAATCTTAGTATTTACTGAGTGATACTAAATGATACTTTACAGGTGCAAGTGAAAGTGATACGAACAAGGATAAGGCACCTCACGAGGAGAAACACTCGGTATTTCTATGAGTGGATCCTTTGAAAAACTAAGTTTTCGATTAAACAGTTTTTTTTATAAATTGAATAATTTTGACATAGCCTTTGATGAAACTTAAATAGAATAATTTTTTTATTTGATGACGTTTTAATTTAATTACTTGTGGTGATTTATTTTCACCACATGGTCATCATGCATGTTATATGGCTATCAATAGTCGTAGGATATTAGTAGGTGTCGACAGAGCTAACAGTCGTCAGTCTTCACCAATGCAATGTTAACAGATCTTCGTTTCCAAGCCAATCCATTCGTTTTTCTTTGCTTCCTCAAGTTAATAGGATGGGCTGACAATTACTTTGCACAAACTCGTAACTTCCTCTTAGTGTCTTCCAACCTCACTATGGGAATTTTTAGCCTTAAAGGTGTGCTTCCCCCCCCTGGAGCCAACACCACCCCTTTGGATTGTGTTGATCGATTACTTAGGTTGGAAAAGTACAAGGGGCGGTTGCAATTAGAACCATAGGAGAGTAGAGCCGTTTTAGTTAAGGGATTAGGTTTTGGGACAGTAGAAGCTGAATTGACTTTTGCTCTTTGCCTCTCAAATGGGTTGGGGGAGGAATTTTCGACAGGCTCGAATCCTCAATATCGGGTAATTGGACTCCATGAGGGAAGCAGCCCCTTAGTGTGAAAACAATTAGGCTGGCCCTCAATTCTTTAGTTGCTTGGAGAAGACCATTTGCAGTGTTAAAAGCCCAAATGGAGCACGTACTAGATCGCACCAAGTTTTAAAGAGAGAAATCCCATTGACTGCGATTGTAAGAGTGTTGTGAATAGGGTCCCAAAGCTATTTGGGTGCCACATGTGCCCATAATCAGGAGAGGTATTGAGACAAGGCATATGGGACCCACCAATACCTTGATTCAGGGTGCCAGACGAGACATGCAAGACCGAGGTATTAGGGTTAGTCTATTCAAAGGTTGGAGCGTTAGGCAAAGTAGACGTTGCATCAAAGGATTTGTCCATAGTAGCAGCGGGGAATTTGTCCGTTATTGTAGCATAAACCTACGCAAAAGCACGTTCTCGGTCATGCCTTCCGACCAAGAATTTATTCGCTGAAGTGTCCCAACTTTCATCCAGTAAGCCATAAAAACCACTCTTTCCTACCCATTTCCTTCTTCCAATGATGCTTGTTAACCCAAAGAGATATTTAGCCTTCTTCGTTGGGAGGAAGACTCCTTTGAAGGCAAAACCGTCCTTAATTCATCTGTAAAAATGTTCTCACCGAATGGTAATGATGACACCGGATGTAAACACCCGCTAGCATGGCCAAGGAGACCTTAGCCATAACAAAAGATTCTTAAATCTTCGTATTTGAGGCGGATCAACCTGGAACCCTTTTTTTTGACATATTACTTAGAAACATGTCACAAGTGGCTTTTGAGCATCAAAATGAACACGGGGTCCCATGAAACCATGAAAGGTAGTTTCTAGAGGGTCTTCAACTTCCAGAATCACCCCAATCTTCTCACCAAGACATCAATGGTGCAAAGTGTCATGCGAACTCCATAAGCTTGGATCCAGCAAAAAACGTTATCAACATCAATGTTGGCAAGCGAATGGAAGGACGACCAGAATTTCATAGAGAAGGTAATCTTTAATGAACCAAGGCTAGGGTTCCCTTACTAGTAATCTCTTGCCACTGCCTCTTCCCCCACCGTGATGGCGAAGATATTTGCCTTAGCCTTAAGGATTTTGACCGCTCTTATTTTGTTCTAGGCATTACGCAAGACTTCCTTGACCACTTGTTCTGAGGGTTTATTATCAACAATCAGTCTTCCCACCAAGTGGATGTTGCTTCACACCTTTCCTCAAGATCTAGGCTATCTTCAAAGGTGAAATTTTAACAATCGATGGTTTCCTCATCACAGGCCATTCCTGTGAGAAGCAAAGAACCTAGTGGTAAAAAGACCACAAGTACAAATCAACAGGAGAAACAGGTCTCCCTAAAGACCATTGAGGGCCACGAACCAGGGAGAGGATTAAGAGCATTCGTGAAGGGTAGTGGCGGTAGCTCATTCTTGTCTCATCATTGAGTTAGCTTGTCACATTTCCACATACTATACTCATAAAACTTAAAGGACATGTGTTGGGGTGAGGAACTTTCAAATTTCAACGGATTATTTTTTGGACAGACGATAGTGTTAGTGGATTAAATCGTTAGTTTTTAGAAGGAAAAAAAGATCAATGGGGATAGAATTGCATCAGGGTGTAAATGCATGATTGCTTTTTGCTACTGTGGTAAAATACCACCTGTAATTATAAGAGATTTAGGCATAATGATGAAATATATCATAAAAAGTTAGATGGAAGAGATTAAAAATACACTACATGAGCATTACAACACACATGTGAGAGAGATTTGCAAATGACTACTTAAAAGGAGTCATTTACTAATCTCACCTACATATCGTCATAATACTCATGTTGTGCATTTTTAAATTAATCTCATCTAACTTTTTGTGATTTATTTATTCTTCGTTTTGCCTTAAACTCCAAGTAAAAATCCATTAAAAAAAACCAAGCGGAATTCCCAAAAGAAAGAAATAAAATGTCAAATTCCCATAAGACCAAGTCAAATAAATACTGCAACAATGAAAGATTAAATTTGGCCGTCCCACAACCGCGTTAGAAACTTTCCAGACAATTTACGCACCAAAACCATACCAAATCAAATAAAATAGAATGAATAGTAGCGTACGATTAAAATTAAAAATTAGTAACGACAAAATAGAATCGAATCAGTAGCCAAAACATGTGAAATTAATTAATTTTGTGCAGACATCTACCAATATAAATCAGTAAACAAATGGGAAAGAAATCCACAAATATATTCTGTGAAATTAATTAGCATAGTATATTATTTTTATTTAATACGATTTGCAAGTTGCAACTAAATCCAACTAACCAATAGAGAAATACTTGGCTTTTATGATATAAAATGGTGGAGACATTCAATCAAACCAGTTCGAAATTTGGATTTCAATCACTGATCATCTCTCTCAAAAGTCTCACATAGATATATTATCCTTTGTTTGTACCAGAATTAGAAATTGTGTGAATGGAGCATCTGTTGGGTCTTCTTAGAGTTCGAGTGGTGAGGGGGACGAACCTTGCTGTTCGAGATATCCGAAGCAGTGATCCTTATGTCGTCGTCAAAATGGGCAAGCAGGTAACTTCGATTTCTCTTTTCATGCTTTTGAGGTTTGCTTTTCCTGCACTTCTTCGATTTCTGGACTTGTGGATTTTTTTTCGACTTTCAAGTTTCATTTATATTTATTTTTATTACAAACAATATTACTACTCTATAAGAACATTAATTGAGAGGGGAAGGGTTTTAGTGTGACATGCCACTGAATTGAAGAGGAAGATTCTATCTGCATGTCAATCCACCTTCATGCTTCAACTTTCAAGTTTTAGTGTTCTAGTCTTGGACTTGGGGGTTTTGCAGACGTAGATTATGGATTTCTTGTTGGTGGTTGACTTCTTGGTCAAGATTTTCTTTGATCTTGTAAGATTTTAATGCAAACTTATTTAGATTGTCTAATGTTTTAGATAGTTAAAAGACCACATGCATGCTGTAAATTAAGCAAACAAATTTGTTTGCTTAATATTTTTTTGGGATCCCCTTCAACTTTGTCCTTAATCTTTTGAAGATGAATTTCCCTCTTCCTTAAAAGACAAATTTTCTGTCCTACATTTAGATGTTTAAAAGGAAACAAAAAGAGCGAAATGGTTTTGATTGTACATATTGCCACTGATGGTTTCTATATGTAATGTGTGATGGTAGAAGTTAAAGACTCGTGTAGTGAAGAAGACTGTCAATCCCGAGTGGAACGAAGACTTAACTCTTTCGGTTGCAGATCCAAGCCTTCCTATCAAACTTGTAAGTACTATTTTCTATCAAACATTCTGGATTGATTGTCTTTCGCATACAGGGCTGGTCCTGAGATTTTTCGGCCTGTGTGAGGCATGAAATGAAACTTCGGACATTGTTCTGAATTTTTTGGGGTGCTTATATTGCAGTTTGTGTATGACAAAGACACGTTTAGTCTTGATGACAAGATGGGGGATGCTGAGTTTGAGATTGGTCCTTTTGTTCAAGCTCTACGTGTGGGTTTGCAAGGCGTACCAAATGGAACCATAATTTCAAGATTCCAACCAAGCCGGCAAAACTGTCTAGCTGAAGAGAGCTGCATCGTCTATACTGATGGCCAAGTTGTCCAGAATATGTGTATCAGGCTGAGAAATGTGGAGAGTGGGGAACTGGATCTCCAATTACAGTGGATTGATGTTCCTGGCTCTAGGGGTTTGTAGATTATGTGATTTTGTCTACAATTTTTGTGAAATTAATCCCATGATTTTGCATTATCGTATGCATTTGGAGCATTGTAACGCCACAACCTCTGAGAGTAGATGATTTTCTTCAATTGGATCTGTTGTTCATAGACTTGATTTTGTCTACACTTTCTCGTGGAAACACTTCCATTTTTTCTTTAGACAAACCTTCTTCAATATATAGTTCACTGCGTTTGAGAAGTGGTGATTGTAGAACAAAATTAATCAGAAAACCATTGTAGCAAAAAATTGCAAGGATGATCGCATCCAATAGAGAATCAAACTGGTTGTTGGAAATGAGATCCCCGATAGTGTACTTCACAGAACAACAATTTCTAGTCTTGGATTACATGAGAGATCCATTCAGACTTTTGGGTTGAAGTCTAGGGTCCAATTAACAAGATCATGTGGCAGTTTTGATGAAGGTAAGGAGTGGCAGGGGCTTCTCCTTTATGGAGGACCTTTGGAATCTTTGAAAATGCAGAAGATTACAAGTATAGAATTTCCTTTAAGTTGTTAGTTTTTATTGCTTATATGATTCAGCCACATTTGTACATGAAAGAACTTGGTTGTGGTAGTTGCTGAATTTATTTTGAGAAAATTTGATTTAAGTCCAATTTTGTGAACCACTATTAAAAATAGTTCACTTATTAAAATAAGTCCAGTGATTAGGATTCCTCGTCAGCTTTGTTGACAGTTGTTCCATATCGGTGAGGGACAAGGTTTGCTATGTGCTTATATGGTCTTAGCCTACTCCCCATATTACCAATTGGTTTTATGGTGGAACCTTAATTTCATCATGGTATCAGAGCGGGTTGTCCTCGTGTGAAGCCAAATGGCCGCATGCGCTCCACGTCACCCAGTTGTTGTCCATGTGTAGGCTTGAAAATCTGCCACACATGCGAGGGCGTGTTGACAGTTGTACCACATCGGTGAGGGACAAGGTTTGCTATGTGCTTATATGGTCTTGGGCTACTCCCCATATTTCCAATTGGTTTTATGGTGGAATCTCAATTTCATCAAGCTTAATGATATTTACATGCCACATTTACAAGCAAGGAAAATAATAGAACACAAGCTAGATGATAATAAAGAAGTGAGAATCATTTTCTCTAGCTATTCTTCTTTTGAATGATTCCAAAGGTCCGTGCTAAAGGAGAATTCACTTCTACTTTGTCCTTCAGGAAAATTGGCGCATGATCTTGGCGACAGTCGATCATCAAACCAAAAACTTGTGAAGAGTTCTTCCTCTAACTCAATGCTGGGATATGCAGCTCTTTCAAAAGTATCCTCGCCTTCTAACAAGGTCTCCCACCAATCATTTCCATTCTTTGTTGACGACGACGTTTGTGGTGGCGTACTTAAATCTTCTGCTGATTGAATATGGTCTAGAATTGGTTCTTTACTGCTTAAGTAATATGAACTTCTGTTGAATTTTTGGGGCTGAGGTCTTATCACATTGGTCTTTCTCATTTCTTGAGATTTATTTTTCACCGTTTTCATGCGAGAATCGATCCGCAATCGAGTGTTCCAATAATTTTTCACAGCATTTGCTGTTCTTCCTGGAAGTCTTCTAGCAATCAATGACCACCTAAGTACATTACATGCATGAAGAAAAAATGATGAATACATTTGCCTGAAAAATAAGATGAATAAAGAAAAAAAAAGGAACAGAGATTGCATAAACGATTTTCTTCTTTAGAATTAAATGGAGTGGACTAGTTGTTTGAGTTAATATTTAACATAAGGTTTTGTAAATAGCCAAGACCCATGGATGTCAAATTAAGTGAAGACTTGCCCGAGGCCCAGTCGACAAGCCTGGAACAAATTGGTGCCTCCTCAATTAAAATATAGGCCACATGTGTAGGAGTGAAGTGACAAGTGACAGAGATCAACTCACTATTAGCCAAAAAACACTTTCTAATGGCACTACAAGTAAAAAGATGATGACTCATTGCCCTCCAAGAGCTTTCGGACAAGAATAGAGCCAAAAGCAGTCGGGCCAAATCGTCTATAAAAGGAGAAAGAGACAACAGAGACAAGGACACTCAACCAATCAAACAAAAGACATACAAACTTGCCTCTCAGACAAGCAAATAACCAAAAAGCTGCACTTCGTCCAGATTATGCACCTTTTAGCCATAGATTCCACGCAGAAAGCCATCTTTTGGCAAAGCTCTGCTACCTTATCCTAGATTCGTAGAATAGATTCCCTTTAGGAAACCTTGTTTGTATTTCCTGCTTACATTTCCATTTTGCAGTACCCACAACTCTTCTACAAACTCAAGGAGAAGTGGTTGCAAGAGGTTTGAACCTTGCCCGACAAGATGAAATCTTGCCCAACTTCCTTGTGTTTGTACTTACAGTTTGTAGATTTGTTGTTTAAATGCATATTATGTTATGTTTTAACTCACTTACAATTGTTTCTCGCTCTAAGACCCATTTATGATCAAATTTGGCTAAGCAAGTTAACTTCACTTCTTTAAGCGTCGAATTGTAATCAAGCGAATGATTAAAAGGGTTATGGACTCCCTTCATCTAAACATACAAAACTATAAGAAAAAGTCCTTGGTCACAAGGCAAGAAAAAGAACTTAATGCAGACTTAACCCATTTGTGACAATCCTTTGATAATAAGAAGTTTAAGCATCTTGGGGCGCAAGTAATCGACTTAGATCAAATATATTCAACATCTATTATATTGAGATAACAGTGGCACGCCTAACTTTTTGTTAGTTTTGATTGTGAGCCTCAAGACCTACATCTAAGGCCCCACAAAGGCACATTTCAAAACTAACTTTGTACTCTTCTTGTAGCACACCAAGTAGCAAGAACTCGACCAACAACCAACATCAACGCCAAGTGCCAACACTCCAAGGGAGCTGTGCCAAGGCCAAATCCTTGCCCGAACATTAGTTTTAATACAAAAAATAAAATTACTGCGTGTATTTATTACCAAAGTTCTCCCTTCTAATTCTATTAATTGTGAAATTTTGAATGTATAACTTCTTATCTATTCTGATCCAAGCCTCTGTTGGCCGAATACACAATCTTAAAGGTTTGCTCAGTCGACTAGGGATTAAAAGCATGAAAATGACTTTACATACAAAAATCATTACGAAGAAAGGTTGTTTGAGTTTACTAATGCCCTTCCGGATAAAGATTTTTATTTTTTCGGTCAAGAAAAAACTAAGGACCTGTTTGATACTTTATTTGAATCCAACTTTTTAAACTCAAAAACAATTTTCAAGTTTTAGGCCTTAAAAACTTTTTTGGTAGGACTATTTTTAAAAATTGAACTCAAGACTAACTCAAAAATATAGTCTATTATCTAAAAACATAAAAAGTGAGTTTTAGAGTTTTTAAACTTAAACTCTCTTATTTATTTTCTCTCCTTCCTCCTCTCTCTCTCCAAATCTATCTCTCTCTTTTCTTCTTTCTCTCTCCTTTTTTTTATTACCTTTTTCGTCTTTTCTCCAATCTGCTCTTTTTATCCTCTCAGTTCTTTCTCTCACTCATATTCCTCTCTATTTCATCCGATCATCTCTCTTCTTTCTCTTTCATTCAATCATCTCTTACTTTTTTTCCTCCTCTCTCTTCTTTCTCCCTCTACCGTGACCCCCTCTGTTTAGATCTCTTTGTCTAGTTAAAGTCGTAAGATTTGAAATTTTTAATTTGCATACCCATCAAGTTTTTGAGTCTTAAGAAAATTGTTTTCAAGAAATGTTTTTAAAAAATGTTTTGAGAAATGATAAAAAATTTCAAATAAGATACCAAACAGTTCCTAAAATTTTTGGTTTATTGCTATTAGCACTCGATATTTGTCTTCATTTTAAAAATTAAGACTAAAGTCTGAAGTTTGATTTTCAATGATACCACATTTGATACGAATGATTTTTTGTTTTGCTTAACCAAAAAACAACTCTGCCCCTTAAGGTAGAATATTATAATATTAAAAAATTTAAAATGAATGTTTATAACGCTTGCCCTCTCTAATGATTTTGTAGTTTAGATTCTCATGCTAGACTATAGCTAAAAAATAAGAGTAATCCTCACTTTACTATACTCAAGTATCATGAAATTTGCAAGTTGCTACCCTTAGTTTTTCTCCTCTCACTTTTATTCCTAAAATTACGATTTACTCTAAAATCATACTTCGTTACTCTAGCCTTTAAGTTCTCCATTAAACAATGATGTGGTAGGCCATTGGCCCACAAAAAAAATTTGGGAAATAATTGTTTTTAATAAATCTAAAAAAAATACTACAAAATTGAAAACTTTTTGCTTGATGTCTAAATGAAAAATAAAATGACATATAAATTAGGAAGTATTAGAAAATACTGAAAATATGGGGAGCCAGAATATATTAACAAGAAAGATTATATTCACACACTCCAAATTACTTACACAACACCTTTTATTTTTTTTTATATTCTACACACCACTAATACTTCATTGAAAAACATTAAAATATTAAAAGAGTGGAAAAAGTAATTTGAGGTCTATGATTATAATCTCACTGTTAATAGGTCCAATTTCCGTACAATGAAAACGACGACATGAATTGAAAATGACACTTATTTATTAGTACCTGTTTCCCAAAAGCCTGTGAAGTCTAATTATAAGATCTACTTCATCCTCTTTAAAGTCTCCTCTCTTGATATTTGGCTTCAGATAGTTTAACCATCTTTGTCTGCAGCTCTTCCTGCACCTGTTTAAGCCTGCATACATAATTCAAAGTTTACATTCACATAACATCTTTCTACGTGAACAACAAATATTTATGAGGGACTAAGTCTCTCAACATGGCCCTCCTCACACGCATAGGTCATTTTAGCCATATATGTAAACACAATAGATGAGTGAGGTGAGAGCAAGTATGACCGTTAGACATATTAACATGTTCTAAAACATTAATAAAAGTAAAACTTGAAACTTGAAACTATTTAACAAAAGGTCTTAGAATGAAATACTAGTGAAATGCTTTAAAATAATACACATATCCATCTTTCACAGTTAAATATACACATTAACATATATACCTGCTTTGTATGAAACTTGGTTCCACTTTCCCTCTCCATGAATCTCAACGCACTGCCTGAGAAGATTGTCTTCCTCTCGAGTCCAGGCACCTTTTCTCACACTCAGGTTTTCGTTATATCCCTCCATCTCTTATCTGCTAGCAGCTAAGCTTAGCTATTCTTTTGCCTGCTACCCACTTCATACACTCCAGAAAGACACCTAGCTACCATTATATATAATTAGAGTGTGTTTGCCATGACATTAACGCTATGGATACCATCGGCCTAATTAATCTTACAAGGCCAGTGACGTGCATGTCTGATATCCACAGAAGCAAACACTGACAAGTTTAAACATTCCAACAGTTGTTATTAGCTACCAGTCTAACTTGTGAAATACACACACACACACACACTCGATATATAGAAAAGCTAACATTTCTGCACGACAACATTGACAAGGGAAATCAATCCCAGGGCATAAAATTCTCTAGCTGTAATATAATATTCAAAAGCACATTCTATGAATGTGAATGCAGAATCGTGTAACTAGTTACAACACACATCTTTGACCACCATAAGATACCTTTATCATGCTTTCGCTGCTTTTTCAAGTGTTTGTTTGCTTCTGCTTGTCAAAAAAAAAAAAAAAGTGTTTGCTTGTAATTTATGGAGTAGGATTCTCTCCTTTTTTTCCCTCTTCTTCATTCCCCTCCTATTTGAATAGTCACGGTCAAGTTATATTAACATCTTATATTAATTTTTTATAGAAAGAGAAAGACAAAATAAAAAATGTGAGAGGAATGGATGGAATGGAACGAAAAAAAAAGAGGAGAAAATCCTAGCCCGTAATTTATTGCTACTGTCTGCATTTTGCGGCACCCCCACTATATTGCTGTACAAAACTCCTACGGAAGTTTAGACGCTACACCTAACACATTGCTCAATATAATTGGCCTACGTGCTTCAACTCACTAAGCTTTCACAAGAGTCAATCTCAGTTAATGTCTCTGTACTCAAATCTTAGTTTACTGTCACTAAAAAAACACTTAGGCATACGAAAAATCATTTGTCCCCTAGAGCAAGAATTCTCTCCTAAGATTTCAGGCTTACATTATTTTCATAGGTGGTTCAGCCTTGTTAATTTAACTCCATGTGGTTAATCTACATTTAGGGTCACTGCTTACTTGGTCACATTATACCATCGGTGGTCCTACTTGGTTATCTGTCTTGCGGGACCACGCTATCAGATGGCGTATGTTCTCACTTGGTTAATCCGTATTGGGAGACTATGCGTATTCTAAAGATGGATTTCGTTGAATGGTTTATATCCCTTTCCCTTATTTGTTCCGTTGAGTGGTCCGAAACCTTGTCTTCGTTGGATTCCGTTAAGCGGTCCAGAATATTATTTCTTGTTAGGTTCTGTTGAGTTAGTCCAAAACCCCAGATTCTTATGCATAGAAGTTGCTCAAGTTTATGTTTGTGTCTGTAACTTAGGGTTACAATGCTAGACAATTGGATTTCCAGTAGAGAACTACGACAACCCTTGTGAAGGTTGTCTTTATTAGTGACGTGATATATGATCTTGATGGTTGATTATTTGTTGTGATTGTTGAATTGTTGTTGGAAAGTAACGTGATATGTGTGAAAGATGAAAGGGAAATCTTGGTTTTTATATGGTTTAGTTTAGGAGTGGGCACAAGTCGAGCCGGGCTCAAAGTTGGAGGGACCAGACCGGACCCGTTTATAAATGGAACATAGCGGGTGTTGGGTTTATAAGAAATAGAACCGGACCTATCTCAGTCTGTTACAAACGGGTCGGTTCCTACGTGTTCAGGGTCCTTTTTATTAAATTTTTTCTAGGGCATAATTTGCCTATAAATCTTTATTAGGATTCTTTCAAGAATGGTTGACACGAGGAGCTCAGTATGTTGTCAATAATGCTACTTGTTTGGTTGCTCAGAAATTGAGGGAAAATGAAAGAGTAGTGGAACTGATGTTGTGTTCAAAAATGGCAACAGCAAACACCCAAAATCCCTTTAATCATTTTGTAAATCCCTAATTGATTCTTCAAGCCTATATCCCTAAAACTGAATACCTTAAATCTAAAGAATTGAAGATTTCGAACAGAAATAGGGGGGAATTTATGTCACCTTAGACCTTCGAACGATTTCTGAGCACTGCAATTGAACCACTGATGCACGAACTGATACTGTTATACATGAACCATTTCTAGGCACTGCAGTAGAGAGATGAAGAGGCAATGCCTTTCGGAATTCGAGATAGGAGAGACCGACCGACAGACGGAGTACAGATCTGCGCCTGCATTGCCGTTGCGAACTCAACAACAGATAGTTGAGATAGGATTTGTTCAAACTTAGAAATGAACGGTGGAAATGGTTCGGTCCGGGCTGAGAGCCCATCCTCTCCGCTCCCCTTCCACGCGGGTCCTTAGATATGACATATTAATTAGTTAACAAATTTGATGATTCCAATATTTAGAGTAAAACTTAATTTTAAGTTATAAATCTACCCCAGAAATCATAATTATAATTACACGTCGTCATCATCTTGTTACACTATGATATTATATTTAACGTCAAAGAGAAGGATATTGTCCGCTTTGTGCCTCGACCACGCTCTTACGGTTTAGTTTCTGGGAATTCACATGAGAACTTCCTAGTGGATCATCCATGATGGAATTGCTCTCGCACGAACTTGCTTAACTTCGGAGTTCCTAAGGAATCCGAAACCAATGAGCTTCCAAAAGACCTTGTGCTAGGTAGAGATGAGAATATACATATAAGACTTACAAGATCCACTCCCGTAGACGATGTGACATCTTACAATCCACCCCCCTTAGGGGCCCGACGTCCTCGTCGCCACACTTCCAGCCAGTGATTGGTTCTGATACCAAATTGTCATATCCCAATTCAGGCCCCCATCACATCTCGGCTCGACTCCACCGTAGCACGATATTATCCGCTTTGAGCCCTGACCACGCCCTAACGGTTTTGTGTCTGGAAATTCACACAAGAACTTTCCAGTGGGTCACCCATTATGGGATTGCTCTCGTGCGAACTCGCTTAACTTTGGAGTTCCTAAGGAATCCGAAGCTAGTGAGCTCCAAAAAGGCCTCGTGCTAGGTAGAGATGAGAATATACATAAAAGGCTTATAGGATCCACTCCCCTGAACGATGTGGGATCTTACAAAAATTTAAGACAATTATATTTTTGTAAATAATTACTCAAGCATCTTTAAAATTTTACTACATTTTCCCTTCATTGAGCACTAATTTTCTTATAACGGAAAAAAAAATTCAAGTTGGATTCCTTCTCTTTATAATTTGTTTAGTTTCTTATAATTAATATATGTGAATAATGTTAACTAACTTACCTGATCAAGAATAAATGAGAGCAATTACTATTTATATATCATATATAAAAATCCTGAAAGAAAAATTCTTAACATTGCCTGCTGAAAGTACGATGAGTAGGACTAGAAAGAGAAGGGAGTGTGATATCCGACAGTGTGCTTATACATAGTCTAAAATATCCATAATATCCCGATATTTTCATCGAAATTTCCGTGTTTTTGGACTACCGATATTTCCGATATCATCGATATTTTAGACCTTACTAAGTTACTCATGTATCTTACCATGCAATGTATAAAGTGTAAAATATTGTACTAATTCATTATATATAAATGATTATAGTGTATTTAAACTTCTTTCATTAATTACTACATATTTTATACACTCACAATGTTTGCCAGCTCGCTATATAATCAACTTAAATCAGTTATATCCATCATGCAATGCATTTCCTTCCAAATTTTTGTGATAAACTAATAGATAATTGACTAAATAAACATCCTGCAAAGTTTCAATAAAAATTTCCAAGTTTTTCTTACAATTTCCGTGGTTTTTATTCAATTTTTATCGATATCGATAATATCCCGATATTTCCATCGAAATTTTCATGTTTTTGGATTACCGATATTTCCGATATCATCGATATTTTATACCTTGGTCTTATATGTGAAGGCGCATCAATAGTGCATGTATCCTACAATTTTATTTATTTATCGTACAATAAATATTTATGTAGAAGAAAATTGAATAATATGACAGATAACCATTGTCCAAAAAGTGGAACCATGCACTGTTTAGTAATGAGCATCCTTACACTATATTTGTACTTTTTCATTTAATTCAGAGTAAAAATTCTTAAGCTCCCGTTTCAAATTTTGGGACCACGATTTGCTGGATCGATCAGTAGAATTCTCACTTTGTAATTTACTAATCTTAGCTTATCATTTTAGTCATAGCATGGCCTTTGATTTCACCTCATATGAAGATGTAGGCAACTTCTTGCTACCTGTTCCAATAACAAAACCAATTTAAATAAGGAATCAGTTGGTTTAGTGACGTCTAATTTTTATTTAGCTAGCGGATATTTTAGACATAGGGCCGGCCAAGGCCCAGTGTGGGTTGGGTGACCATTTGGGATCCAAACAAATTAGGGGCATCAAAATTATTAGTGTGACATATTTATTTACGTTTTTATAAGAGTATAAATTTATAAAATTTGGTTTAATGAAAAAGAAATTTAACTAGAACCAGTGATTTTGTTATTTGAAATTAATGAGGAGGTCTTGGGTTCAAAACACCATGTGTGTTTATTTAAATTCCAATTTTTACAAAATTCTTTTCATAACAGTTTAAATTTATAAAATTTGGCTAAATGATTAGAAGTTTAATTAGAAGCAATGATTTTTGCATTTAAAAGTAACGAGAGGTCCTAAGTTCGAAATGCTATGTGCATGTTTATTTTTTTCAATTTTTTACGAATTTTTGTTTGCTTGTTAGTTTATTTTTAATTACTAGCTAGTAACTATGTGGGTTGCTATTTTTAAACATTCGTTCAAATTCAAATCTAATCTTCAACAAAGGGTAATGTGTAGACTAAATTTTTGATGGTGTGGTTAGTAAATAAGAAAAAACACCTCACGATTTATACAAAAACACTTAAAAAGTTCAGATGGAAGACAAAACTCATCATCTATTTACTTGTAAGCCTGAAGTTTTTTGGTTTGCTTCTCTCTAAACAAAATAAATTAGTTTTTCCGTGTTTCTAAATTACTGAGTTTGAAGTACTTTTCTAAATATAATTTTATCGATGTCTTACGTGTAAAAAAAAAAAATTTTTATATACCCCAGGCCTCAAAAATCTCGGGACCGGCCTTATTTAGACGTATATATGAGGAGGATATATATTTTTAAAACAAATTTGATATTAAGTTGTGACTCATGGTAGTTTTCTATAGTTGCTTCAGGGACATGTTTGATAAGTATTTTTGTAAATAAAGTCTATTTTCAAGTTTCTAAGAAGACATAGAAAGAAACTTTAAAAAAAGACATGAAGTTAAAGTTAAAGGAAGATATGACACAAAATTATGCGCATTAGCATTTTAAGATCCATAACCTTACTTAATAGGATAAAGTTTAGTTGGTTTTTTTTTTTAGTACAACGATATATTTTACATTATGAGAAAGAGTCAATTCTTTAAACCACACAATAGGTAACCAAATTTGATATCGAATTCGTCATCCATGAAATTCGAATATAAGACTTTTCATTTACAAGTGAAGACGAATACAACATATCACAATAATTTTTTTTTTTCTGATGTACATATTTTTGGTTCAATTCGACACGTGTACGTAGGTTGGCAAGTTGTCATCTTTGCTACGCAACATGACGACAATAACAAAGGGATTGTTGATGAAAATAAAAGAAATGAAAGGGATTATTAACCAGAGGCAGATTCTCTGCCCACCCACCTCTCGTGCTTTTTTGTGCCATCTTATTTTGTGTGGTCACAATTAAACTACGTCAATATTTTATATTATTTTTTTTATAGAGATAAAAAGATAAAAATAAATAGTAATATAAAATATTGACGTGGCTTAACCGTGATCATACAAATAAAAAAGCACGAGAAATGGGAAGGCAGCCCTCCTTATCAACCTAAGGTACCAGGAAACTATTTGTGCTCTAAAGCTGTACACGTATTTGTTGGGAGTGTGTGACCTTGGAGAGCTCAGAGTCACTCATTTAAATGGAGTAAACATTTGGGGAAAGAGATCATCGCTAGATCTCTTTCTAAAGTCCAGGAATCAAGTGATCTAAATTTTTGGAATTTAATCAAATGGTTAAAAATAAAGAAATTAGTAAAAACTTATAAAAGTTACAATAATTTTTAACCGTTAGATCAAATTTCAAAAGCCCGAATAATTTGATTCCTGAGTTTTAAAGGAAGAGATCTGGAGAGAATTTCTTTCGGGTCCATTTATTTTTGAGTCGGCAACAGTTCTCATAAAGTTTGACGTTTGAAGCCAAAAAAAAAACAAAAAAACAAAAAGTTTGACGTTTGAAGTTGCATGCTCTTTTACTTTATAGAGTATGTTAGGATTTGCTTTTAAACCAACTAAAATAATTTTTGGATTACTAAACTGCTTCTGGCAATATTTAGCATAAAAAGCTAGAAGTATTTTTAGGTTATCAGAAGTGACCTCATTTGATACTTTGTATTGTTAAGGTTTTAAAAGACGTTAGACGCTAGTCAGACGGTCTGCTGGGGTCTAGTGCCTATGTGGCTAGGTAGGGGCCTAGATGAACTAGGTGGATTTAAATAATAAATCATATAAATTTAACTAAATTTACTATATAACATATGAATAAACATTGAATAACACATTAATTTTTTAGGCTTAAATAAAAATCAACAAAATTTTGTTTTATGAAATTACGTTATTGCCCTTAACCTTTTTTTTTTGTGATAGAAGACTAAATAGTCTTTCACTCTCTTTTGGTTAATAAAGAGAATTATATTAATATATAGTTTAGATAACTTCCACCGACTCTCTTAAAAGAAAAATCTAACTATTGCTAGGTAAACTATTAAAGCCTAAAACAACCAATTGAATAAAGTTAAAACCCTAACTAAAGCCATTGCACTCATCTCTGCAATTGCATACTTATTTCTACACATTGCCGTCGTCACCCCTCTCTACAAGACTACAACTGCAAGCTTCTCATCTACAAAGCTCTCTCTCGCTCTCTCTCTCCCTCTCTCTTTCCCTAGTTCTCTCTCTCTCGTAGACCATGTCATGACTCATTTCAAGCAAAGAGATTGCGAAACTCGGGGAGACTGATGTGAAATATTCTAACACACAAATAAAACCCTCTTTTTGACAATTGTAGTAAAGATGTAAGTATGGATCGTTCTGGACCGAAGATTAGGAGGGATTGCTAATCTATTAAAACTAACCTTAAAACATAAAACTAGGTTTTAAAAACACTTAACTAGACTCAAAGAACTCAAAACAAACTGAAAAGACTCAAAACTAACTA